AAAATAAAATAAAATAAAATAAAATAAAATAAAATAAAATAAAATAAAATAAAATAAAATAAAATAAAATAAAGAAAATAAAAGGCAAAGAACCTCTTCACAGAATCACAGAATTGGTTGGGTTGGAAGAAGATCTTGAAAATCTCCTCGTTCCAACCCTCAATTTCCACCAAAGGGAATATTTTACTGAAAAGACACCTGAGTATTTTACTGAAGAGCCTCGCTGATAAAATTCTAGCTGTTCTCCACTTACAAACATCCTAAATTGTCCCTCTTTTCCCATTCCTTTCTCTCCAGCTGCTTTCAGGGCTGATCCTACAAGGACAATAAAGGCAGCCCAGTTCTGCTTCTGAGCCCCAAACCCTGCAACATCCTTTATACCCTTTATTAAACACATTCCAAGCCCCCAAAACCCCACTAACTGGGCTCAAATTGGCCCCAAACAACCACATCCACTCCCTCTAACACAAACAAGTTATCCCTGAAGCAAAATGCCTTGTTTTAGTAAAGGTCTTTTAGCAAAGATCAGCGATTTCTTTGAGGGTTTTTCTTAGCAAATAAATTTATTTACAGAGCCATTGGCTCTGAATTGGTCAGGAGGAGAAGCAGAGATCCAGCACCGGGGACACCCCTGAGATGTCACACTCCTTTTGCACACCCAGCACAACAAAACCCCACAGACATAAAGCATCAAACCCTTACTCACAGTTGGCAAGGCCTCGTATTCATCTGACACTCCAGGAGATCATAAAGCTCAGGGAACGTGCAGGGAATGATCCCTGAGGGTCCCAGGCTGGAGCTGCTCCGTGTGCTGGAGCTGCCACTGCAGGCTCACCCCCTCCCTGGGGACACGTGGATCAATCCACACATCCAGCCTGGCATTGAAGGGCTGGGTGTGATGGGGTTGGAGGCTGGGGAGGAGCTGCCAGGTCCTGGAAGCTCCTGGGGTGAGGTCCAGGGCCTCACACACAGCACCAGGACCTGCCACTCTCCCCTAAACCTGAACCTGGAGTCTCCTGGAGTGACTTGGTCTCACGTGGGGCTGGGATGTGGCATCTCACCCCAGTTTGCTGCTCTGCACTGGAATTCTGCACCACAGGTTCAGGGATGTGAGGTGATGGGTAAAGTTAAACCCAGAGAGGATTCAGAATTTAAGGTAAAAGGTACCTGCAACTCCCTGGATGGACAGAGGGCGAGATGCTCCTCAGCACAACCATAACCATCTGCTCAGAGGAACAGAAGGGAGTGAGGGACCAGGTGGAGAACATGTGGCCTCCTCCATTCTGATCCCAGCAGAATGGGAGAACGTTGCAGGACTGAGACTGTGGCTGACAAGGGACAATCAGGATGTTCTGCTGCCACAGCCACAACCACATCCAAGCCCCTCCTCAGGTGCCAAACCCCCTCCCACTGGGTACACCCATCAGAAGTAAAAAAGTCTTTATGACTAGAGCCACTCCAACTCCACCCAAACAAAAAGAAAATGAGCAAAAATCTGAACTCCCACCTTTCACATGACAGGGACAATGAAAGGAACCCCCCCCCAAAAAAAGCAGCCATACCCCTGTGTCCAGCAAAGCACCTGGACCACTCTGAGAGCAGCTTTACCACATCTCCCTCCACAAAACTGTTCCCTTCCACAGTATTTCAGTACATATAAATATTTCAGTATTTATAGAAAAATACTAAAAATAAATAAGGGCTAGTCAGCAACAGTTATCTCAGAAATGAGGTGAAGGGACACAATCTAAGCAGTCACTTCATCACTGCTGCTCTTGCCAAGGGCTCCCAAAGAGGCAACATTCCCAAAGTGCATGTGGAGAAGCCCGGGATGGGGACTCCAGCAAAACCTGTGCACATGGTATTTCAGCTACTCTGTTCCTGTACCGAGTCCTCATTCCCTCTCCATCCCCTCCTAGGGCAGGAATTTCTCCCTGTGGAGGAGCCAGGGAGAGGAATTCAGTCCAGATCTGGTTCTCACGGATCACAGAGCCCCCGTCTCAGAATGAATGGATTTGTAACTGTTAATTATTGCATTCCCATCTCCTAAGGAGCAGGCTAACACCTGATTTTCCCACATTCCAAGCAGGAGGGACTGCCCCCCCCTCCCCAGAGGTGGGGAGGTGACCTTACCCTGAGTGGGCTGGGCTGAGAACAACCAGGAATTAGGAGTGGCTTTACCTGCTGCACTCTGCTCCTTGCTCGGTGCATCCAACTCCTCTGTCACCCCCTGGAGCTCTTCCTGGGCCACCATCAGCCTCTGGGGAGCACCATCCAGATCTCCCACAGCTCCTGCAGGTTCCCTCTCCAACTCTTTCCTGCAGAACTGAAGCACAAGGGTTAATGTTCCCCCGGAAATGAGAAAACCCTGGGGAGATGGGAAGGAGGCAA